TCACTGCAGATATTAAACCTCTGGAACATCCACAGCTAAATCTGCTATTGGTGAAAGGCAGTCAGAAAAAGCTAAGGTTTGCATGCAAGTTGAATTTGTAGGCAATGTAATGTTTGAACTTCCAAGTTATAGTGTGAAAGTTACTAAATTTATTGTTATTTACATGTAACTTCAAACAGCAGATGTAATGCAATAGCTTTGAAACTTACCTGCCTGTCTGATGACAACAGGTTCAAATCCCCATTATGGTGGGATTTTAAAACCGACATTGGTACCAGAAAATGTTCTAGGAGATAAAGGTGGAAAACCTAACAAATGACTCACTGCCCCTGGATTAGTCTATAATCACAATAATAATTTTGCAATAAAAGCCCGAAAAATGCAAATGGGTCCTTTAATCATCTGCATTTTTTAAACTTACTTGTAATCTTGATATATTTTGTTTCATTTACATTTATGGTCACAACTTTTTGCATGCACACTTTTGTAAGATAATCATCCCTCACAGTTTAATTAAAACTCTATTTGATCTAATTAAGCAATGGAACCTTCATAGGCTCTTGCTTGCTAAACAATATACAACTGTATATTAATTACATTGATCTACTGTGTTGCTTATATTTCACAAAAACAAATCAAAGCCTAGGACTGCAGCTACTTGACTAATAAATAAAAGAGCCTAATGCAAAAATATAAGTTTGTAAACAAAGAATTACAAATTTGAAAGCTGTTTTTTATTCCTCCACCATCATCATCCCTTTCCCAAAACATATATTGCACTATGTACATGAAACATACCTTTTACAGTTGTATGCAATGATATACCATAATAAATAACAGAAAACCAGACTGTACAGTAATTACAGCAACAGATTTCTTTGTATCATACATGAGGTGATTCAAGTAACCATTACAATCCATGGCAGAATGTACTGCCGAGTACATTCAAGTGGGGTTTCAAATTCTTGAGGTATCAAGTCTGTGGCATTACATAAGGTAACATTCAAGATGAAATTTACACAACAGCTGAATAGAAAGATAAATTTTTCTTGGTGTTAGTAGTAGTACTTTTTTTTTTTTTTTTTTTTTTAGTATTATTAGCAACAGTGGTAGTAATTTTAAGAAATAGGTTCAACTGTTCTGGACTTTAATGTGGAAACAGATTTATAGGTTTCTTCATTTAGTTGCCCTGCAATGACACATCTGAGACAGTAGTTAGAAAGTGGAGAAAGACATGCTACTGTAGGTCACCAGTTACATAGCTCCAAATAAAATGTCAGTTGCGTTACTTGTATATGTCTGTCAATTCGACCATCTTTTGAAAATATATGCTCTAATTTTTACTTCAAGAATGATTGTTTCAAGCACAGTGTAGTCCTTATAACATATACTGCCATGAGGTATCAAATGTCTGACCCTTGCATACCTGCCCAGAGTACTGAAGTGCATGTTGGCCAGTTCCCCCACTTGATGTTTATCCATTTTAGAAAATGATCCAGTACCATTTGTCTGAAACTGGCACAACCGCAGGACTGTACAGATCAACAGACGAAACAAATTCTGCCACAGTTGGATATTCAACTTAGACCTCTTGCTTTGTAAAGCAAACACTCTAACTACAGTGTCACCGTAGCTCTTTTGCTGTTCATGACAATTTTTAGAGGCAAAAAAAATGTTACTTGTTAACGCTAACAAAACAAAAAAAGTTAAGAAGCATCTTAGCATACTATAATGAACATTAGCAAGAGTTACAATGTTATATTTAATCAAATTTTCAATTGTATATGCTTAATGAACAGTAGGTGAAAATTAAAACCCCCCAAAAAAATGAAAGTATAAATCAAAATAAATCTGTCCTAAGTCAGTAAATCACTTGTCATTTTACACTTGTCAGTATTTTCTTCAACAAGCAAGACGATATCTGACACAAAATCACTCTTTATTTTTCAACTATCATTCAAATTTGAAGTCTTGGCTCAACAGCTTGGACAGTTAATCTATTCTTTCTTTTGTTCTCAGACAATTTGTTAAATGATAGTTTAAACACATGTAACCATACATACAAGAGATGCATAACATATAAGATAAGAATATATTTGACATTTATGCAAACAGTGTACAAAGTGCACAAAATGAGACAACGTGGGAATGTTTGTTAAAATATGCCAGGAATTTTACAATCTGCTTCAGTACACATATTTTCAGATAAATGCAGCTCATTTCAATTGATAACATATAGTTCATATAATACAAGTTAAGCCACAACAACATTAGTTATAAATAATATTTTAAAACATGAAATTAGCAATTCAGTAACTATCCAGAGGCATGCGGTTAACAACTGTTTTATTAGATTAAAAAAAATAACTAACATTAACAACACTGGCATACTGTACAACAAAACATCTTTGTATCATGGTATCTCATGATACACAATCATCAAAATAGTACTGAACATATGTCTCAGTGTTGCAGGTTATGAAGACACACAATGACATGTAAATGTGTTTAGCTTTCTTCTGATACAAGTCCAATTTTCCCAGAATGCAGTCATGAACTACATTCCATGTTATTTTCACCCTTAAAGTATTGCAGCCAAAAAGATCGACACCCATGGCATCAAAAAGACTCTACAGCTACAAATCAGACAGAAGGGAACCCTGACACCCCTTTCAATCCTAGTAAACAGTCATGGTTATGGAGTCACCTTTTAACTGCCCTACACTATCTAGACTTCAGGTTACTTTCTAACCATCGGATACCCTAGGATAATCTTACTATTAAAGGGGGTTTCTGAGATTTGTACCTTAGGGATTCTCATCTGAATAGTGACATTTTTCATATTACCTCACCAGGTGTTATCATGTGCTCCTTGTGGGGTTCAACTTCACTCATTCAGTAACCCTGTTGTCCTTTGTTGGTAAAGTAGGCATAACCTCTTGACAAAACCTATCAGTGATGATTTGTACTTTTTTTGGGAGAAGAAAATTCTCAATATCAGAGATGAGAATAGGTGATAACAAGTATAATACAGAGAAAGAATGTTACTGTTGATGTTAATAATGATCTTTAAAGAATACCTTTCTTTCAAGGAAAGCTGTATGCAATTCTCACTGATTAAGCAACAGGTTTTGCAACCACATACAACACAACAACAGCTGAGAGCTGTATTGATCTGTAAGAACCAAGTTTGACAACACAAAGACAATCTCAGACCAAATCATCAATGTGTTTATTAAAATAAAAGATGGATATGGAGGTAAAGTACGTGGTACTCAGAGGTTTCAAACATCTGGTATATTTTGGCTTTTAAATAAGTCACAAATACTTTAAAATACATTAATAATCACAGTTCAAATACTTGTGCTTGCCACATTCAGGCATGTGTATGCAAATTTCTGGAAATCTGTGTCTAAATAGACAGTGCCCTGGCTGCTAAGTGAATGGTCGGTGTTACTAGAAGCTGCAGGCAGTGGACCGGGCTCTGGGTACTAAGGGGCAGTGTTAGGGGTAACTGTGGCAGAGGCAGATAGTGCTCTAGGTACTAAGTACAGTAGATAGGCAGTGTTACAAGTAGCTGTGGCAGAGGCAGATAGTGCTCTAGGCACTAATTACAGTACATAGGCAATGTTAGGGGTAGCTGTGGCAGAGGCAGATAGTGCTCTAGGCACTAAGTACAGTAGATAGGCAGTGTTCGGGGTAGCTGTGGCAGAGGCAGATAGTGCTCTAGGTACTAAGTACAGTAGATAGGCAGTGTTACAAGTAGCTGTGGCAGAGGCAGATAGTGCTCTAGGCACTAATTACAGTACATAGGCAATGTTAGGGGTAGCTGTGGCAGAGGCATATAGTGCTCTAGGTACTAAGTACAGTAGATAGGTAGTGTTACAGGTAGCTGTGGCAGAGGCAGATAGTGCTCTAGGCACTAAGTACAGTAGATAGGCAGTGTTAGGGGTAGCTGTGGCAAAAGCAGATAGTGATCTCGGTACTAAGTACAGTAGATAGGCAGTGTTAGAGGTAACTGTGGCAGAGGCAGATAGTGCTCTAGGCATTAAGTACAGTAGATAGGCAGTGTTAGGGGTAGCTGTGGCAGAGGCAGATAGTGCTCTAGGCACTAAATATATAGACGGGCAGTATTATCAGCAGCTGTGAACAGCAAGCAGTGCTTTGGATATTGAGTAATGAGCAGTGTTAATAACAACTGCAGCAGGTTGATGGTACTCTGGATGCTAAATGGAGAGGCACTGTTACTAGTAGCTAAGTATGATGCAAGTCTGAACTAGAAATGGCTCTCAGACCTCGCTATGCTGTTAACTTAGAAACTATACAGTGTTTACCTCACATATCGCAGTAGGCTTTTGCTATAGCTGCAGCCACATGATGTGTACCAGAGGCATATGTATGTCAGTATTATTGCTGAAATTTTTATACATGGGTGGCCAACAATTCTTTCTCTCTTAAAGATGTGATTAATTGTGTCTCATCTGTTACAAACACTGATCGAGGTTTCAACATGGTGTCTACCACAGTACATGTATATAGGCTTCCTTCTCTTCTTCTAAAGGATGCTGTGTGACAGTGGTCATTTTGTTTGCCTACATCATCTGTTTTGTGCAATGTTAGTCATTTCTGGTTTGGATGTTCCTCTATTCCATGATGCCAAACAATCAGGCTTCCATACTGTGAAATCTGGTGTGACAAGACTGCATTCTGGGACACATTTAAATGAATGCATCTCTGCACAGAACTGCAACATCACTAACAGTTCTCACACATATTTTCTGTAAGAGGGTGTTACCACATATTTTCTGTAAGAGGGTGTTACCAACCAACTGCCACAAACTCTTCAATGTACTGTGTATGTCAAAAGTTTTGTCTGCAAACAAACAGCAGTTAACTAGACATACAAACAGCAAGATTATGGTAGTGTTTGAGCAGTTCCCTGTCTGTGATTACCCAGCTTCAGTTGAGGTCTACGCAAAGTGTCTGATAAAACATGAGTCCTAGTTCATAGCCACAACATCACAGATGTCCATCCACTTCTGGTACCAGGGTCCCAAAAACTCAATACTATTATGTATCCTTCTTTGTCTGGGATCAAACAGTTTATTTCTCCACAAGTTATCTCCTTTAAAGAAATACATGGTTTTGTCTTTATAAGAGTAATAAACTACATCAAGATTGCTAGGCAGAGGTCTGTGTCCTTCGGCTGGTGGATACTCTTCGATAATCTTGCGCTTTCTAACACAGCAGCCCCTGTCACTTTCTGGAGCAGCTGGATTGTACACATAAACCTGAGGACACAATAAGTAAGGTATTACTAAATGTCCACCAACAAACCCCAAATCAACAAGGGATACATAACTTTGTCATAAACTCATGATTGCTGACAAAAGTTATAAAAGGAGCTTTAACTTTACTTTCTTTATAAAGTTTTCTATAAATAATATAATTCAAAGCTGATAAAATGATAGTTTTCTACATCTAGCTTGCTACCTAAATTTCAAAGGTAAAAAAGTAGGTCACAAATGGTTGTTTATAAAAAAAAAATAATAAAAAAAATTAAAAAAAAAGGATGATAACAACATAAAAACTATTTATTCTTAACACATGCACTGTCCTTTTATTTGTCAACATAATTACCACCAACACTGATGCACCTGTCCTATCGTTTTATCAGTCCTCCTAAACCTGCTGCAAAGAACTGTGTGCTCTATTTTCACTTCACATTCAACTTCTGCATCATTTATAAAATGTTTTCTGCCAAGGTGGACCAAAAACATGTGAGCACCTTACTGCAGCTGCTACAGAGTCACCTGTACTCACCTGTCATCTCTAATCATCTTCTCCACCCGCTGTGTGGATGAAAATGTTGCAATTTCAACAGGACAACCAGATCGGACTTCCATCAGACTGGATTTCCTTTGCAGGCAGCCTTTACCCCACCCCCTCCCTCCCCAAAAAAATGCACAACAGCATGTTTTTTTTTTTAGGATACACTCTGTAAGTAGAGACGCCATTTTGTTTATGTGTTGTGCATGCATATGCAACACCTAGCGTCACATAACAAATGTAGACATAAAGTTCAATGCTGCTGTCACCTAATGACACCTTTAAAAACATCAATTACATTTTCCTGCTATCCCATAACTATTTGTGACTTACTTATTGACTTCCCCTCATACTAGTATGTATGGAGGATAAAGCACAGTCTTCTTATGTGCTTTAATGAAAGATGACTAGCTGATAACCTAAAATTAATTGCAGAAAATGTTTTTGGAAATGCAAGCTTTTAAGATAAGGTTTTACATGCAAATTTAAATTTCTGCATTGAGATGAAGCAGAAGTAGATTGTCACACCATAAATGAATAATGAAAGAGTATGCAGTATGAATAGTATGTCAAACTACAGCTCATAGATGGTAAAATGTACAACAGAAGAAGTAGTCTGTCAAACCACAACTATCAGATGATAACATCTGCAGCAGACATGATTTTTGTGTGCAACAGACAAAGAAAAGATAGACTGTGCAGTTGAGGTTTTTCAAACCATAAAAAACTGAAATGGACAAATAAGTATGAAGAATAAAGATCAGCCACAACAACTTCAGTAACTGAGAGTACAGCGCAAGACAAAGATGGACAGGAAAGACATTCAGGTCAAAGAAGGAAATATACAAGATGAAAATCCCTGTGTGGGTTTCAGGACCCCATTTTAGGGGAAACAAAGAAAAGACCTATTGCCCCCAACAGCATGATGTTAAAGGTGATGAAGTGTTCACTGAAACTGAATGTGCTGCATCATAAGGTGCAAATATTGCATCCAAGCTGTAAACTACAACACAGCAAAACAACCACATTTTAGCGGCCAAATGCTGAGATGAAAAACAAAGTAAGAACAGAAAAACAGCCTCTCTGTCAAAATCTTTTAAATGAAAAAAATAAGATGCAATCATTTTCTGCACCAAGAGAAACTATTCTTCACCATTATCATATACTTACATAATCATTTTTAAAAAAGTAAACATTTTTATCCCGTGTGTCAAAGAAGACACTGTCAATGTTGTCTGGGATGCCTTCTGTTTCCCCAGGCTTTGGACCAAAACCATCTTTGATCAACTTTGGCCATCCTTCCACAACACGGTCCTTCTCACTGTCATATTTGTAGTAATGTTCACCTGAAAATGATTATGTATGTGATATTGAACTGTGTCTTAAGAGGAATTACTTAATGTTACACTATGTCACTTAAAAGATAAATGTCTGTGATGTCAAACTAGGTACTTGAACACAGTTCACTCAATGAGCTTACATGTTAGGCATGAATCTTCTTTGTCTTCTTTGTTCAGCAGCTTAAGTTCCTGCGGAAAGTCCTGGTTCGTCCATTTGGACTCTAGCCTTGTATGAGGGCCTTTTGTGTGCACATCTGTTTTACTGGCTTATTTGTGTGCAGTTGGTTGTTCTTTGCTGCTTAGGCAGATGCACTCTGACTTTGTAGAAAACTCCCAATTAGTCCAGTCCAACGACATGCTTGTTAGGCAGGCAGTGGGTCTTTGCTGAGGAGTCAGTGATAAATACCAGTAAATCTATTTCTTATTTTGTTTCACAGCTGTTAATAAGAATAATACTGAAAATAAAGAAGATATATACCTTTGAAGAAGTAAGCATCGTCAATGATTTCACCTCCATTGAAAAGCCAGATATGGACATATCCATCCACATTGTCAGGAACACCATCCCACTCCCTAGCAACGTACAAAGGGTCTCCATAGCGGGTCCTGTTGGCATGATTCTCATACATCCAGTAGTGATTGCCACGAAAGAAGTACGTGTTGTAAATGAACTGATTGTCTGGGCGCCGACGTACCCAGTCGAAAGCTGTGTTGAAGGACCCCTTACAGACACCTGGAAATGACACAACAAGAGCGTATAGCTGTGTCAAAACAATAATAGGATTCTACAACTATGACAAAACAATAATCAGATTTTACATCTATGTCAGAACTCTCATATATTATCACAACCGTGTACAACTTTTTCCACCTCTGATTTGTTATTAGAATATTCAACTGTGATGTCAAAACTCTAATTTTCTCACAAACCAAAAGACTGATATTATAAAAATACACATAACATTCACACAGAAGCTACTAGAAAGTATCAGTATATGAAAAAAAAATATACACTAAAGGCTTTTAGAACTATTTCAAACCAATAATTTAATGTGTTTATTATGTATTTAACATGTTAATGCTTATGGAATTTTTCAGAACTCAGTTATGAGGACCAGCTGTCCTTTCTTTATACACCCACTTTTGGGATTGCAACTGTTTAATATTTTCTTTTCCTGCAGTTGTACAATGTGTAATTTCACCTCAATGTGTGGATTTCATGTCTGTTGTGTGGGTATCACTCCTACTGTGTGAGTATCATGTCTGTTGTGTGGGTATCACTACTACTGTGTGAGTATCATGTCTGTTGTGTGGGCATCACTTCTACTGTGTAGGCATCACATCAAATGTGCGGGTATCATGTCTGTTTTGTGGGCATCACTTCTACTGTGCGGGTATCATGTCTGTTGTGTGGGTATCACTTCTACAGTGTGGGTATCATGTCTGTTGTGTGGAAGGTGTTCATGGGTTAACATGTATAAATGTAACTCAAGTACAAAGACCAGTAGCTCTTTCTGTGGACAGGCAGTTGTGGAACTGCAATTGTTTAATATGTTTGCTTCTCTGTTGTACGGGTACCACTTCTATTGTGTGGGTACCACCTCTACTGTGTAGGTTTCATTTCTAATGTGTGGGTATCACTTCTACTGTGTGGGTATCATTTCTACTGTGTGGGTATCATTTCTAATGTGTGGGTATCACTTCTACTGTGTGGGTATCATTTCTACTGTGTGGGTATCATTTCTAATGTGTGGGTATCACTTCTACTGTGTGGGTATCATTTTTACTGTGTGGGTATCACTTCCACTGTGTGGGTATCACTTCTACTGTGTGGGTATCACTTCTACTGTGTGAGTATCATTTCTACTGTGTGAGTATCATTTCTAATGTGTGGGTATCATTTCTAATGTGTGGGTATCACTTCTACTGTGTGGGTATCACTTCCACTGTGTGGGTATCACTTCTAATGTGTGGGTATCATTTCTACTGTGTGGGTATCATTTCTAATGTGTGGGTATCACTTCTACTGTGTGGGTATCATTTTTACTGTGTGGGTATCACTTCCACTGTGTGGGTATCACTTCTACTGTGTGGGTATCATTTCTACTGTGTGAGTATCATTTCTACTGTGTGGGTATCATTTCTAATGTGTGGGTATCATTTCTACTGTGTGGGTATCACTTCTACTGTGTGGGTATCACTTCCACTGTGTGGGTATCACTTCTAATGTGTGGGTATCACTTCTACTGTGTGGGTATCACTTCTACTGTGTGGGTATCACTTCTACTGTGTGGGTATCACTTCTAATGTGTGGGTATCACTTCTAATGTGTGGGTATCACTTCCACTGTGTGGGTATCACTTCCACTGTGTGGGTATCACTTCTAATGTGTGGGTATCACTTCTAATGTGTGGGTATCACTTCTAATGTGTGGGTATCACTTCTAATGTGTGGGTATCACTTCCACTGTGTGGGTATCACTTCTAATGTGCGGGTATCACCTTTTAAGTATGGGTATCACTTCTAAAGGCAAACACAGTCTAACAAAGCTTGCCACAACTCACCATAAATATTCTGAATATCATGACGATCATCCCAGCTGAGCTCAAACTCTGGGGTCAGCTCTGTAGCGTGGTATGCATACATAATAGAATATGTTTTGTTGGTATGGTTCAGTCCCAGCACATGACCGATCTCATGAACAGCAACTCTCAATAAGTAAATCCCATCGTTGTTGTATGACTGGATGGATTTAAAGTTCTCTTCATCATCAAAGTGCATATTGCCAGCATTCCAAGAGTGTGCAATGTCTCCACCACTGCCATCAAAGTCATGTTCACAGTTTTGGTGTGACCCTGTGTGATGACAGAAATAAAACACTCAAGTATAATCAAGTTTTAGTTTTTCTCTTACTGGCTTTCCCACCTCCAGGTCTCTACTGAAGGTCTGACATCTATGGGACTCACGGTCACATCCTTGATGCCCAATCCTTCAGCAAACGTGGAAGACAAAAACCCTTTCTAACCTCCGAATCAGTTTAATTTAGGACCAATTAATTACATACAGTTTAAAGAAACAACGGAACAGAGTACAATAACTAGTACCCGATGCAGAAACAGCTTATGGGGCACCAGAACAGAGTACAATAACTAGGACAAGGTAAACCTCCGCCTTTCCCCTTTAGATGGTATATTGAGGTCTTCTCACTAAATTGTCCCTGTAACTCATTTTGTCATAGTGTAATTTTTTTTAACCCTCATACGTGTTTTACTTTAAATAACAAATGTACAGAATACAATGATTTAAAACACTGTTTCTCAATTATCTAGGACCTGTTCGCAAAGGTTTATCCGTGAACACCATACTCTGCAGTAGTCATTCTGAGGAACTTATTATTGTTTATAAATATTATAATTGAAAAAAATAATTTTCTCCAACGTTCTTCTTCTTCTTTTCTCTCCTCTTGGAATGCCTCGCGGCGTCAGGGCAGAAAAAGATCTCTGGAACAGGCCCTTCTGTTCGCTTCGTATAAAGTACTTTTCAGTGTCTCTGATATTGCTGCGGTCCATGCCCTGCGTGGTCGAGCTCTCGCTCTGTTACTGCTGTATCTGTATAACATTGCTCTCTGTGATTCCCTGTCCGATGTCAATCTTGTTGACTGGCAAAACCATTTGATTTGTTGTCCACCTATACAGTTCAGTAATGGTTCTGTGCAGACTCTCCTCCTTTCATCCAAAGGCGTAAATGCGGAGTGCCGGTTTACAAGACAGTTGCGATTTCTTTCGGCTCAAACATTTGACATCTGCCAGCATTTCCCGCCCGAGTTAGCTTTCCCGCTCAGTTTCGTGGAACACTGCAGTCTCGTGGTTGTGTAATGCTGGTCAGTCCTTAAAAGAAGGCAGAGGCACATCATGAGCATTCCTCACCATCCAAGGAGGCTTCTCAGATGCAGAGCCCATACATGGTGCCCTAGTGCTAGGGTAACCCAAGGAATCATCACACCTTGTTCATGACTGATTAACCACTCCCTTCCAAATATTGAATCTCTAATTCATCACTGTCTATCCCTTTAGAAGCTCACAGAGCCAGCATGGAGACCTGGTATATTAATTACCTGCACAAAATGAGTACTTTGCTTCTTTTGCATGTTAGACGTTTATTGCAGCAGACTTCTGTGTCCACTATAGTTTCAGATGAGTTATTTCCCGCATAGATACTTATTGGCATTCAGTGTTTTCAGTATATGGACAGATGGATCTGTTCCTTTTCTGCCCATTCGTTGTTTCTTTAGGGACTACCAGCTTGTGATAAATGACACGCGAACCACCAGATGGAAAATACTGAGTTAAAGCAATTAGTGCCTGCAACTGAAAGAGCTAAATGCTTTTTGGTCAGCTTTAATGTAACTGTTACAGAAATCACGACCAGAAAAGGTGGGGACAGAAGGAAAGGGGAGAACTAAAGTCACTTGAGACGAAAAGTTTCGTCAAGAGTATGACTCTCACTCCACTTCAGTAGCAAGTAAACAGGATATCGCCATTACCGATAAGGTTGCCCATTTTCCCTAGCCGCCCCCGCTCTCTACTCCCGTATCCTATTGAGATTGCCTGATATGTGCCTACGGTCGCCATTTAATATTTCTGCACGTTTTACTGTTGTTAAACAAACTAGGAAAGGGCATTGTTTTAAACTTTAGAATAAATTAAATTACATGGAAATGACAGAAGACAGGAAGCTTGTTGACACAATGTGTAGCAAGCACATAAATCGCGAACACAACTCCAGGTTCACGGCTGGTTATTCTATGTTTACATTTTCCTTGGCTGCTTTTTATATATGGTCGTCAATTATAGATCTACAGCTTCCGTGTTCGCTGATTATACTGGATTACAGCGGGGATATTCAACTGGCGGCACGCGGACAAAATCTGGCCGATCGAGGCCTAGCAAGTGGCCCAAGGATCATTGCCATATTCAGTGACATTAATGACCTTTACTGTTGAGCTCCATTAAAACAGATTTTGCCACTGAGTAAAGCGATAAGCAGCCCTGGGTTAACAGCTTTCATTGCCGTTAATTCTCGATTCACAGCTTCCGTCGCTGCTTTTTCCAACACGTTTACAGCTTCTACGACTGCTAAATCTATATGTAAACCGCTTCTAAGACCGATAAGTCTATGTATTCCCAGCTGTCACGAAGTCTTACTATATATTTACAAGCCCATCACCATTTATTCTACATGTATGGCCTCCACGGCTGCTTATTCTATGTTTACAGATAACATCTATGCTAGAAGCCGTCCCATCATCTGTCATCCTGTGTAGGCATACCTTGTTAACAATCTCGCCAGTGTCGTCTCCGAAAAGTTTTAGGAAGATGTAAGCTACTCGTCTAGACCATCACCATCATCAATCGTTGAATGTCAATTGTGCCACACATACCGGGCGGAGAGGGGCTTAATTCTTCAGTTTTCCCACAACTCATATCTGGTCACACCCAGTGTCCACTGTGGTGCTGGTCGAACCCTGCCGCTTCTTTCAGGGGTATTTACCATGGAGGTAAGATGAGAATTATTTAGTTTTGAGACATCATGCTGTTAATTAACTAAATATTTGGTTGTTCCTTTGATCCCACCACAGTCGAAGTTTTCAAATAATATGTGTACCGCGTCATAAAAGTTGTGTAGTTGGTATATTCAGACACCATGAGAGCACTTACTGAACACCATTAATTGCGTCTGTGCGCGCGCGTGTGTTCATCAAGCAGGAGCAAGCCTCATAATCCCTGTTCAGTTGTTTCGCCATACAAAATATTGAATTATACTGTGAGGGGGGCATTGTACGGTTACAAGGTAACCTGATGTCCCATTCTGGGTGGTTATCTGCTGTCCAGTAATTACAGCGGTGGTCTGCAAAGGACTTGCTACTCGACGATGATGGTAATACCACTACGACATTTTGGGCAGGTCATAAAACTATAAAGTCTAACAGGCTCTCTCCATTGATTGCAAGAGTCTCTTTCATTTGTGTGGCTCTGTGTAGGCAAGTCATAAAACTATAAAGTCTAACAGTCTCTCTCCATTGATTGCAAGAGTCTCTTTCATTTGATTGGCTCTGTGTAGGCAGGTAACAAAACTATAAAGTCTAACAGTCTCTCTCCATTGATTGCAAGAGTCTCTTTCATTTGTGTGGCTCTGTGTAAGTATGCCGTTTGATTCGTGACTTTTTCCGCGACTTGTTTTGAGTTGTTTTGAGTTTGGCCAAGGGACATAACTCCCACTAAGCCCCGCTAAGCCGGCCGAAGCAGTCCATCTTACCGGCCAAATTTGCCAGTAGAGCCCATAAAACTATAAAGTCTAACAGTCTCTCTCCATTGATTGCAAGAGTCTCTTTCATTTGTGTGGCTCTGTGTACAGAAGCGGTTCTCAATCTGTGGGTCGCGACCCTTTTGTGAGCCGAACAACCCTTTCACATGGGTCGCCAAAGACCATCGGAAAACACATTATTCATTGAAGTTATGAAGTAGCAACGAAGATAACTGTATGGTACATTAGTTTTCGTCCTTCTTAGGACGTTATTTTTTGTTGTTTGAAGCCCCAATCTGGCTTTTTGCCAGGGGCCGCAATATAGGCAGGTCATCATTATGGCCAAATGTCTGAACGCGGTTTCTGGGACCTCTCCACGGTGATCCTCATCCGCATGGTGGCACTTTGTGTCATCGGGTGTTTATTGCTTGTGTGATGTCCTGGTGGGGTAAAAAATCCAATCCAATCCTAACTGTATGGTATAAATATTCCTTACGTCCTTTTCAGGATTAATTTTTTGTTATTTGAAGCCCCACTCTGGCTTTTGCCAGGGGCCGCAATATAGGCAGGCCATAAAAATGGCCAAATGTCTGAACGCGGTTTCTGGGACCTCTCCACGGTGATCCTCATCCACATGGTGGCACGTTGTGTCATCGGGTGTTTATCGCTTGTATGATGTCTTAGTGGGGTAGAAAGTCACTGACTCACTCATAACTGTATGGTTGGGGATCAGCAAAACATAAAGAACTGTATTAAGGGTCGCCGTATGACAAATGTTGAGAGCCGCTGGCGTAGAGAAACAAACAACGACTATTCTTGGCTGCTCATGCATAATGCGACTTGCTCCGGAAACGAAAGAAAACTACACTTTGGAGGTGTCAAATCTGATGTCGTTTTATCGGGGCTTGGCTCCTTTGGTGGCAGAATCAACAATACTCTATTCATGCCCAGTAGACGGGCTATGGGAGCCTTCCGGTGTACACGCCAGTTGTTACTCCAAGGTCAAAATTACGCAGTAGGTTTCGGATCATGGCGTTGTAAGGCGAGACCAGAAACCCATACCCCTCCGCCCCCCCCCCTTTTTTTTTAAAAACTGCATGGGATGGCCACCACCTTCTCTAATGCATACTGAGATGAACATGATTGTTAAACCTGTCTACCTGTCAGTCGGTCGGTCGGTCTGTCTGTCTGTCCGTCCGTCCGTCCGCCTATCTATCTATCTATCTATCTATCTATCTATCTATCTATCTATCTATCTATCTATCTATCTATCTATCTATCTATCTATCTATCTATCTATCTATCTATCTATCTATCTATCTATCTATCTATCTATCTATCTATCTATCTATCTATCTATCTATCTATCTATCTATCTATCTATCTATCTATCTATCTATCTATCTATCTATCTATCTATCTATCTATCTATCTATCCATCTATCCATCTATCCATCTATCCATCCATCCATCCATCCATCCATCCATCCATCCATCCATCCATCCATCCATCCATCCATCCATCCATCCATCCATCCATCCATCCATCCAT